CAGAGGTAGCAGCAACTTTGTCATTCCTTTGATTTGGGGGTTTCTTTTTTACATGGTCACTTATTTCCCTATCCATTTGCTTAATCTCATTTTCTTCACTTCTGCTTCGACATCTTCATGGCAATACAGCTGAAGTTGTTTCTGCCTGCTTTCTAATTCACTCTTGTATTTAAGCTGCTGGCTTAAAAAGTTAAAAAAAAAAAAAAAAGGATGATCTATTCTGATTCTACTTTAGAAGAAAAAAAATGATCACAGACTAAGAACATTTCCTTGCAGAAGAAGGATGGTTTGGTCAAGGAACTGTCCCATTGGCGTTCTGGTAGGGCTTACTGCGGGCATATGACTTATTTCCAAGCTCATATCTTGCCATGGTGGGCTGTGGAGGTTAGGGAGAGCGAGATGGAGAAAGGAGTGCTACAGAGCTCCTGACTTTTTAGCTGGAGGTACCAGGGAGAAGCAAAACTGAATTATAGCCCTTGCTTCAGTCTCTACAGTATTTTGCCTTTTGGACATGTCTGCTAAACTCTACCACCCTGGGTTGCTGCTCTCTGTCCCCACCCTGTTTTATAAACTAGATGTCTTGGGACTGTAAAAGAAAAGTAAAAATCATGTTAATTGAAGTAGCAATTTGGTCACTTACTTGTACCTACCTCTTCATAGTATTAAGCCTTGGGTTGTTAACATGTGGTTACTAAAGTCACTGGTCAGATTTATTAATTAAATCCTGAACTGCCACTGTTTCACCTATGAAATGTGTGCTTTTCTTCTCCCTAGAAAGAAGTGACTTGGCTAGTTTGTCTTGGAAAGAGATCTATTTCAGAAGAATTCCAGTGTCAGAAAATATCACCATCAATAATAAAACTATGTGTGTAGGGTCATGTCTAATTTCATTAATTCTTTGTCATAGGTATTTGGAATCTAGAAAAAGACTCTCAATCCAAGCTGACCCCGAATCATTACACATTTGGATCAATTTGCCTTTTTCTTGGTTACATTTGCTGGGAATTCTTAATGAGGAGTAGGAACTTCTAATAGTTTAGCATTGAGAAGAATGATAGTCCCCACTGACAAAACTGCAATAATCCAAAGATAGAAGAGTTATATGTTTGTGTGTGTGTGAGGAATGGGCAGTGTGTAGGGACAATGGAGTTTAACTGAATTATTTTTTGGTAAATTTGCCATAGGACTTGAGTGCTCATGACAGAGGCAAGGAGAAGGAGAGAGAAGGAAAGTGAGAAAGCATCCCCCGGGGGAGATGGCCATGCTGCAACAATCCCTTCTTCTCCATTCTCCTCTCAGGATTTTGGGCATGCATGCACAGGCACCTGGCGTGGTCTTCAAGCCAGTGGGCCTGGGACTTGACCACGCAGTTGGCCATGGGACATCCAGCCATTTTAACCACCACCCCACAAGTTGGCCCAGCTGAATATTTTAAATGACATCTAATTTGCTTAAAGCAAGAATAGCTTTATCTTTTTCTTTTCTCTCCATTCTCCTCTCAGTTAATAGATTTATTTTGCTATAGGGCATGTGTGCTTGCCAGAGAGACACAGAGCGAGAGGAAGAAAGCCCTTCTCCATTCTCCTCTTGAGATTTTGAACATGCACGCACATGTGCCCAGCATGAGTTTTAAGCCACCAGGTTGAGACTTGAACTATGGTCGACTATGTGAAAGTCGAGCAACGTAACCATCACACCATTTTCTGGTCCCAGCCTTATCTTTTTCTTACAGACACTCTCATACTACATAAAACCACTGCTTACTCAGAACGAATAACCCCTGAGGGAATGACTTTTCCTTGATATAACTGGTTGGGTGGTTTTGAAGTCAAATGCTATTTAGTAAAAATCTTTGTAACCTGTCTGTCACTAAGACCTGTACTGATACTTCTCTAATTTTACCATACAACAGAATCACTGTAGCCCTTATTATAAATGTAAAATCCCAAACCTTTCCAGACTACTTTTCAATAGTTTTAAGGAAGGCTCTGGAAACCTGTGTGTTGACCAGAAAACCAGGTGATTTTCTTGCAGGTAGTTCAGTCTGTCACTAAGACCTGTACTGATACTTCTCTAATTTTACCATACAACAGAATCACTGTAGCCCTTATTATAAATGTAAAATCCCAAACCTTTCCAGACTACTTTTCAATAGTTTTGAGGAAGGCTCTGGAAACCTTGACCAGAAAACCAGGTGATTTTCTTGCATGTAGTTCAGAAACACACTTTAGAAACACCATCTTTATTTATTTAGTTACTTTTTTTGCTTTATTTCTTAGTTGTGTCATCACAGGCAAAAATGAACCCCAACACTAAACTTTGTAGTTGTTTAGTCATTTTGTAAATTAACCATACAAAATTTTAAGTATAGGACTGTTTATATCTTGTGATTTGTATGTCTCTAAGACTGTAAGTGTCTCCGATTTCACAGTATTTTGTATTTTATAAGGCATATATTTTCATATATATCCACAGTCTAAAAAGTGTATTCCACTACAATGTCATTTCAATCATGTAGGTTATTGAAAATTGATGATTTTAAAACCAAGCTCTGCTTTCTATGGCTAAAATAATCATTGTTAACATCCTTATATCACCATCAATTCATGTCTTAAATTCTAAAACACTGGATCAGCACCAGATTTCCATATACTTTAGCCTTGCTTAAAAACAACAAAAAAGAAAGAAAAAGAGAAGGGAAAAAAAGAAGGGCTTTTAATATTGCAGCTTTATAGCAGAGTGAAAGTAAACCAAAGGTGTATACTTGAGGACCGCCTGTCGGAAATTGCAAGTGACAGTAGTTAACCTAGTGTGATTCCCACACAGACTTCCTATGACCCCAGTGACCTGGAGTAGTTTCAGCGATCTGAATTTCATTAATACAACTGTCCCTCTTCTGTACCACGACATACACTGGCCTGAAGAAGGTGCTGTTTCCCAGGAAAAGGACTTAAGTCCCCCCAAGAAATGCACAGGGCCATAGTTTGAAGAAAACGTTTTGCTAACCAATTGACTTGCTCTGCATATCTGCTTTTCTCTAGTTATATTCTTTGAGGTTCTTATTTAAGATAACTTTCAGCATCTCTTTTTAAAGGTCAGATATGAATGAGGAAACTTTATTTGACTTGCTAATCTTGTGACAAACGGTATATGCCCAGTGTAGTTTCTTGTCTTTGCTGACTGGTTATATGAGGGGATTTTTCTCTTTCTGAGACTGTGGAGAAGGCTTTAAAAATAAACAACATGGCTGCTTATTGCTGGGAACATATATGAGCAGATGTCAGCTGAAGCAGCATATGGTGGTAACATACTAGCAGCATATGCTTACAGAAGTCCTTCCATGCCACTCTGGCCAATCAGAGCCCTATATCTCAATTAAAGACTGTTCTGATAGAGGTGTAATACACACGTGTGGGAAATTATGTCCCTGGGTTCTTGTTAGTGGGTTGAATATTGGAGACGGTAAGTTGCAGAATACAAAAAGGGCCTTCATTCTCCAGTTAAAAATTGAGTGATAAGAGGCACAAATTTGGCAAAACAAAACAAACACAATACGTTAAGAGTCCATGAAGTCTTTGTCTTTTGCTGAAAAATGTTTTCAGATCAGGTCTGAAGAGTGGCAGTATTACTTCTAGAAATACGTCCTATATGATGAAATGATACATGAATTCCAAATCTAAGGAGCGAGGAGAAAATTATATTCATTTCAGGCCTAGAAGGCAGTCAAGTCAGGGCTTTTATTTATTCATTTTTTTCATACATTAGATTACTAATATGATTATATTCCTTGATCACATTTTATCTGTCAGCCTTTTTAAAATACATCATATCAATTTAGTTTTTAAAAATCTTCAGGCAGGTTTGTTTGCCTCATCTTACAGATAACAGAGTCTGGAGAAAATACAGTCTTGTCCAAGGATTCCTGGAAAAATCCATGACAAAACAAGGGTTTTAATCCACACCTTCTCATGTGAAAATCCAATATTTATTGATCCTACTCCAGACAGGAAAACCCTTGAATAACTCAGCAGTCTTTTCAGTTTGAATTGTTTTCTTGCTATACTTTCCTGAGAGTCTGGTGGGCAATATAAAAATCTGGTTGCTGTTCCATTTAAAGAAAACGAAGTTCAAAATTTTCAGATGTATTAGTTATTGTGTACAACATAGTTTTATCTATTTCAAAGAGTTCTAGCTTTTTAAACTGTAGCTAAGCTGCCCCAATATACATTTATACCTTTGACTGATTCAAGAAGGAATTTTCATATGCAGGTTAGCAGTGATGACAGATGATTTTAAAAACATTGAAATCTAGGCCAAATGAAAAATGAAGTCTTATTCTTTTTTCTTTTGTTTTGTTTTTAAGAGAGATTTTTTTCTATAGGGCGTGTATGCTTGCCAGAGAGAGAGAGAGAGAGAGAGAGAGAGGGAAGTCACCTCCCCTCAAGGGGGGTGGTTGTGCCTCAATTCCCTCTCAATTTCCCTTCTGGGATTTTGGGCACGCACACATATGTACATGGCATGAGTTTTAAGCCTACAGGTCTGGGATTCAAACTGCAGTTAGCCATGTGGAAACCCAGCACCTTAACCACTATACCACCTACTGGTCCCAAGTCTTACTTTTAATATTAATAGATAGGTCATCCTTTTTTGTCAAAGGAAGTCAAAGCCTTATCTCTAATACAAATCAAGGTATTTAATTTACCATTTCAGTATTCAAATTGTACATTGTTATTTTAACCTAAAATATGCTAAAAGGAAGGCTGAATTCAGTTGTCTGACTACTGGTTAGGGGATGCCAGGAGATCTGGGACTAGAATCCAGAATCTTCCATAAGTCCTCAGTGTTCAATCCCCTTGCCCTGGGTAGTAGAGACCTTGCATTTTTGGGGGGAATGATAAGAACATCCAGTGAGTCCCTCTTCAACTTTGAATCTTTGTACAATTCTGTGCAGGCATCTCTTCCATAAAATAGCTAATGACTGTGCTTTTTAAAACTCCTAGCTGTTTGCCCAGTTGTTACAACACCCTCTGGCTCAGTGGGCAGCTTGTGCGCCAGACAGTCCCAGGTGCTCTGTGGGTACCTTGGTGAGTACACTTGTCTGCTTTCTTCCTCATTTGACATAGTGCTATCAAGTCCAGCATTAGTATTTGTCTCCTGTGGGGAACTTGTCAAAGGCAAAACAGGATTCTGAAATGCAGCCTTATAACTGAGCAATCACAAGGGTGCCTAAAATTGTCTAGACAGAGTTTACATGAGAAAAACTGATGAGTAACTTTGAAATAAGACAATCGCTTGAGTACAGTATATGGAAGAATGGCTATGGATATGAGATGTGTATTCCAGGGGTCATGGAGTGCCTTGAAACATTGATCTCCTGACCCTTATGGAGCAACCTCTGGAGGGTTGGCCAATATGGCTTGAATATCAAGGGAATGTCCCTTTTTCTATATTGTATTCATATCTATGTTCTTATTCTTGACACACAGTAGTTGCTCAATTAAGGTTGCTTTCACTACAGTGAAAAGGAGATTCTTCTCTCCTTTGAGGTTCTAGAGGGAAGCCTGTGGGAGAGTTTGTTCTTAACATTATTTGTGACATTCATATGAACATGTCTGGGCTGCATGAGAAGACAAATTGTCATGGGGCAGGCTCTTAGCTGACTGGACCTGGGAACTTGCCACTTTTTCAAACCACTTAGTTTTGACCCTCAGACCAAGTACAGGCTCCTCAGAGCTAGCCCCACGTGTTACATTGAGGTGCATCAAAGTCCAAGGTCTCCACCCCGTTCTGGTTGGAACATTAGTCAATTCAAACCTCGTTTACGGAATGCCTCATGTATGCTGGACAATGAGTCCACAGCAAAGAACAGAATGTGGGTGATCGTGACACAGAAGCAAGGAAACAGACTTGAAATCCTCACATTGGTTCTCTGCATCTTTTTGAGGTCCTGAGGGTTAGACTATATTGATTCTAAATGTGGGTGGAGGTCTTGGATAGGAACAAAGGAAAGAAGTTTTCTTTTTTCCTTCTCTCTCTATTTTTTCCCCCTATTAGAAGGCGAGTTCATTGGATATTATGCCATTTATGATGCCTGACTTTGCTTCTTAGGAATCAGTGTAGTTGGAGTATGTATGTATTTATTTTAAATAGATAAAATAAAATATTAAATGAGTCATATTTTATTTATTCATTGCTTCCATGAGCAAATGAGAGAAAGACAGCACCTGAAACAGGGCCTTCGTGCTATGCTCCATCCCCAGCCTCAGCCAGTCATGGGTCATGGGCACAGGTGTAGTCAGAGAGGTCTCCAGACTTGAATCTGGAATGTTCCCCTGTGTGTCATCCTTACAGAGCCACGGTGTCGTGTTTTATTACCGCACTCATCTGGCCTGAGTGTACTTTTTCTATAGTGTCCTAAGCTGAGGTTTCCTCAAAAAGAAGTGCTTCTATTGAGAATATACATGTATTTTAGTACAGAAGCCTCAAAATGGTTCGAAGGTACTAAAGGAATAAAGAGTGAAAGATGTAATTCATGCTTTTAAAGTTCCCTTTTGTGAAACAGATTACTTTGTTTTCAAGCTCTAAATTTTCATTGTTTTTCACTATCTCAACCAAGGAGTGAAATGTCTGAGTTATTCGCACTAGCTGACCAGCTATTTGGAAAGAAATGGTAAAGGAAGAGAGAAGGAACACATTTACTGAATAACCTCCATGCCCATGGTACTTATGACACATCATCCTAACCCTGCTCATGTTGGTTGGTTGAGGAAGGCCAGGATGACAATCCCATTTTTCAGGAAATTGTGGTTTGGAGAGGTAAATACCTTGTCCTTTTATAGTTAGCTAGTGTCAAAGCCAACCTCTGGATTCAGGTCTGGTCTGACTGCTCTCCCTCAGACCACAGAGACCCCTAAATTTGTTCCTCTTCCTCTTGCTCTCCCTTTGGAATCACGTCCCATTAATCTTACAGCTGTCTTGCCTACTACTTTGGATGACTTTCCCTTTATCTTCTCCTCCCATAGCAACCATGTCAAGGGGCCTACCCAGGTTCTCTGGATGGTTTTCTTCTCAGACACTCCTTCTCACTTGGGGTTATTGTCAGTCACTTAATTGCTGCAAGCTTCCCTCTTCCTTTGGTGAAAAAAAAAAAAAAACACTGGAAACCCACCCTGTTCTTCAGCAAGCCTGGGAAAATCAGGAGTGTCTCTGAGGGTGTGGACGGGAAGACAGGGTGCAGGCTCCACATAGATTCTCAGACTGCGGAAGGCTCTTCCATGTTCCCCAGCTGACAGGCCTGGAGGAACCCTCAGACCCCTTTTGGATCATCCATGCAACACTGCTGGGCAATGGGGCCCTGCCTTTTTTTTTTTTTTTTTTTTTTTTTTTTTTTTTTTTTTTTTTGTCTCTGTTCTTAGAAATAGTAATTGAGTAAAAATGTAAGTGAGCGTATGCCAGGGGGCAAGTGTCCAGGGTCGGGGTGAATTTCTCCATGCTGAGTATGATTCTGAACACTCGTTAAGTGAAGTGGGCCTGCGCCAAGCAGCTCGAGGGCCATCCCTGTCACCTTGCGTGAACCGCCTCTGCGTTCCAAGGAGATGTTGGGAGCGGCTGGAAGGCATGTGGGGCCTGTGGCGCCTCTCGCTTTTCTCACTCTCTAACCCGGGCGTTGTTGATAACTGTGTGCTCTGACACTGATGATTGGACTGGCAGCTTTACATAAAATACTCTGGAAGATGAAACAGGTCATGCTTCTCACAACCCACGTGACTGCAAAATCATTTTTAAAAAAAGGTTATTCATTTATTTCTTCCCATAATGATCCATTGCTGGTCTCAGCCTGGATCGCAGGCACATGTGCCTACCTAGTGTGCTCAGGGAGGTCTCAGGACACAAACCCAGGACCATTCCCATGTGGATGCCATTGTGACACTAGTGTGCTGCTGCCTGGCCTCTCATTTTTCTCTTTTAAAAGTTATTAACCCTAGTCATATTAGTTAAGATAAGGTTAGCCTGCCTGGAGGTTTTCCTGATGGGATATAAGAATCCAGAGTACAAGCATTAGAAACAGTCTCTCTGTGAAGGAGTAGTCATGGAGGTGAATTTAATAGGTTTTTTTTTTTCTTTTTTGGAGAGGTTTTTGCTATAGGGCGTGTGTGCTCGCCAGAAAGACAGAGAGAGATAGAGAGACAGAAAGCGAGAAATCACCCCCAAGGGGGTATGGCCACGCTGCAATCCCTTCTCCTTCATTCTCCTCTCGGGATCTTGGGCACGCACGCACACGCGCCCGGTGTGAGTTTAAGCCACCAGGTCTGGGACTCAAACCATGGTTGACTACGTGGGAGTCCAGCAACATAGCCATTACGCTAACTGCTGGTCCCAATTCAATAGTTTTGAAGTATTTATAGAGTAAGAGGCTTTTAAGTAGCTTGGTTAGGACTTAAAGGTGTCGTTTCTCAGAGTGTGGCCTGCATTTGTATCTCCCAGGCTCTTATGAAACAGATTCCCTGGCCTGATCACAACACTGTGGGGTCAGAATCACTGGGGCGGGTGGAGTTGAGGAGTCTGCACATTTTAAACAGGCACTGCAGGTGCATCTGACCTCACTGAAGTTTGCAGCTGCTCAAGGCAGCGGATGCTCTGACTATGCGGGTCTGTTTACTCACAGTCCTACTGCATGGACGGATTCAGATGCGGCAGGGCCTCTGTTTGGTCAGCTGGTTCTCTGGTTGTGAGACCCTGAATCCACAGGCCCAGCAAGGTTTTTGCTGTGTGCTTTTCAATATCCCGAGTGCATACACATACTCAGGCAAATCTGTTATTAGTGGTATTACACTCCTCCCTTACTTGTTGTTTGGCACTGAGGAGGCAATGAGTATACAAAAAGGTAAATTAATCACACAGGGCAGGGGACAGATGCCAAGTTTGGAAGTGATGTTGAAAGTGAATTCCAGCTCTCAAGTGCTTTCACCTGGACAATTGTGGGGTGGAAGAAGATTTTCGAAGCGAATGTTTAAGGCATAAGTGACATATGTAATGTAATGAATGTGTAATCCCCTGAGGGAGTATTTGATCAAGGCCTTGATGACCTCTTCATGGCCCGAATCCTGTTCTGAGACATTCCATGAGGTTAGGATCTAGCCAACAATGGAATGTAAACTCTACTATCAGCCAAACTCAGCTTTGAGTAACTGCAGGTTTCTCTTCCCAAATGGCGTTTTTCTTCGAGTCATTAGAGCAGGTGAGAATCTGACCAAGCGATTAAAATAATAAAGTTGAAGATAAATTACTTGGTATTTTCCTTGTGTAATCCTATGCCCTATGTTTTGAATCACCCAGTATTTTCAGTCAAACCATACAATATAAATATTCTGCAACTACTGTAGTTCTTTTGGTTATAAAAATTCTATTTAGAGAAATATCCGATTCTCCTATATGGTTTGCTTCACTCAACAGCCCACATGGCTATTGCAGTGTGAAAAGAATAGCTGATTATGTTATACCTCCCACCAAGCCTTCAACTAAAGGATTTTTATATTAACTACAGATATAGATGAAACTTTAAGGTAAATGTCAAAAGCATGCAGAGATCTTTACAAAGGTAAAGAGAAGAAATTCTTAACAGTATTCTAGTTCATTCCAAAGTATTTGGTGAGTATCTCATTGTTAAGCACTAATATAGCCACTAGTGATACCATCCGTGAATAAATCAGTAAAACTCCCTGCCCTTAGAAAGCTTACAGGCTGGTGGAGGGAGACACATAATAATAGATTAAATAAGGATGGTAGAATCTGCTTTTTGGAATATCCCAGAAAAATCCCTTCCTATCCTTGACCAGAGGAATAGGAAGATAGGTTGCAGTTTTTTTTTATTATTATTTATTATTATGATTTTAATGTGCTTACCAGAGAGAGAGAAAGAGAAGGAAGAGAGAGAAAAGCAAGCTGCCAGATCTGAGACTCGAATCTCAGTTGGCCATGTGGGAGTTCAGCACCTTGACCACCATGCCACCCGCTGGCGGGTAGGTGGCAATTCTGAATAGAATGGGCATGGAAGAATTTATTAAGAAGGTGGCCTTTAAGCCGA